TTTTTTAAGACCAAATAATTTTCGTTTGGTCAGCTGATTGCATCTGGATTTGAACCTTTTTCTTTTTTTCTTTTTCTTTTTTTAAAGAGCCAATAATTTTAGTCAGGTCATCTGATTGCATCTGGATTTGAATTTTCGCAAGGAAAATGAGCGATAGCGAGCTTCAGAAACCAAGCAGCATCATACACATCAGACCAGATAGTCGTGACCTCGAACCAAAAGCAGAATTGCAACACGAGTTCCACCAAATAAGAGCACCGCAAAAGCTCATAAGTGACGATGTTGGAATAGTCTCATCATCATCAACAAAGAACCAATGTCGACATCCTATCTGGCGCTCTGCGCCCAGACTACAAGTGGCAGATCCTATCTAGCCTATCTACAATGCCGCTGGTGACGTCAACAGCTCCCCGAAGTACGAGCAGATCTCGGCCAATGCCGTTCGCCCCAAGCACCAGGTATGTCTCTCGTATCACTCACAACCTCGATCCCCCATTGACAGATGCCACGTGCACCCAAGGACCAACATGCACCCCCTCCAGCTATGCAGCACAGCTCGGCTATGGGTGCCTGCCTCTCCCTACTCGTCCGTGAGCGCGTGAGTCTGGCCAGCGTTAAGCGCAACAGCGCTGGCGCAGCATGCAGCCAGTGCCCGAATGAGGAGTCCTGGGGCAGGCACTTTCCTAAATGGAAGTGACCTGACTGCTGCGTGCGGCCTGCCTGCATTGGGCCTCGGTCCAGAAGCTTCCGGTAGGCCCCGTGAGGCTGAGCCCCAGTCCGAACGAATCAGGCCCAGGGCCTGTGGTGGTTATCCGTGCCCAACTGCCCGCAGCCTGTGTTCAGCCCATGTTGCGTATCTGGCCCAGGGCCTGCCTCAGTTACATACGAAAAAGGCAGCCTGGGCCTGGGCTCTCTCAACCAACTGGCGCTGTGCAACTGCCTGGATTTCCCCAGTTGCGTGGTGACCCCAAAAATGGGCCTGTAGGCCTTGGTCGAGCCTGCCTTCACTTAGGGCGGCCGACTGTACTGAAAATAAGGCCCAGTAGGGCGTATCGAGGCCTTGAGCCGCACATTCCCTCCTATACTTCGACAGTCCTATGAGAAATCCCATTACTCAATCTGGTGCTTTCCTTTCTGCAGTGACTTCTCGTAGTGAGCGACAGCCTGTGGAGCGGTCTGCATCAGTTCCTCCTGGGTAAACCATCTGTCCCCCTTAGGATCAGTGTGATGTCTGAACCGAACGCGATACTGCAGCTTCGGCTTAGGAGGACGTCCCCTGCCTTTTGGCCTTGGAACTGGCATTTCCCTGTGGTCCACGATGTCATCGATGCCGACCTCTCCATCCATGGTTGGGGGCAGCATTGAGCGTCGAGAGGGAAACTGGTCAATTTCCTTGAAAGGTGCAAATTTGGAGGCGTGAAAGACAGGGTAAGTGCGAAGGTGACCAGGAATCCGAATTACATATGACGGCCCATCCGGATCACCCTCGACAACATCGAGAACCTCCCATGGTCCAAAATACTGTTGCATGAGCTTGCGGGAGATCCCATGCTCCTGTCCCAGTTCTGAGGACTTGACCCAGACCCTGTCCCCTACCTGAAATGTAGATGGTCGGCGGTGTTTGTTCTCAGACTCTATCATCGCCGCCTGTGCCTTGTGCATCTGTTCTGCAGCTTGCTGCATCAGGTCTTCATATCGATAAGCAAATTCTAGAGTGCCTGGTGCAGCAGCAGGCTGATTCTCAGGTAAGAGAAAATCTAATGGTAGTCTAGGTTTAAAAGTCAATAGCAGGCTGTTGGGGCTCACCTCAGTGGCGCTGTGCACAATGTAATTGTACAGGCTGGCGATGAGAGCAAGTTTCTCATCCCAGTCCACCTGATTGGGCTTAATGTAGTGCCGCAACAGGTGTTGTACAGCGCGGTTCAGCTGCTCTGCTTGCCCGTTTGCCTCTGAGTGGTTCCCAGAAGTCATCTGCAGCTGTGTTCCCTGTTCCGCAGCTGCAGTCTTCCACAACTCACTGGTGAATCGGACATCCCTGTCACTCACAATAGACTTTGGAAGTCCAATATCTCTGACCCAGTTCTCTTTGAACAACTTGATTACGTACTTTGTCTTAGCTGTAGTAGGCATTGCAACTAATCTAGCATATTTACTAAACCTATCCACAATGACATAGACATATCTCATTCCGCTCTTGCTTCGCATCTTTCATCATTGTGCGCCACCAGAACCGCTGCAACAAATTTGTTGCAGTCTTCCTATACCCAAAATGATCGGTGGCATCATGACATTCGCCTAAAAATAAACTACGCAAAGACTCCCGATTTGGAACACACAAGCGTTTATTCCCGGCCTTCTTAAGGAACAGCAGGTCGTTGACCAACACAAACTCGTCAGCAGTTGCTTTGTCGTTTGCCTCGAGTCTGCGTATGATCTCGGCCATAAACGGATCCTCGCGATAGACTTTCACCAAAGACTGAGTAACATTGTCCGCAAGCCCAAATTCAGTGACCAGCGCACCCAGGAAGTCTGGCCTACGCGACAGCGCATCAGCAACCTTGTTGTACTCCCCCTTGATGTACTGGGGTTCAAAGTCATATTGCTCTATGACCTCGACCCATCGCTTCAGGGCATTGGAGAGTACCGGTTGAGTCTTCATCCACCTTAGGGTCTGGTGATCAGTCCTCACGTATAAGAAGCGACCAAGGAGGTAGTGCCTCCAGTGAGTCAACGCTTTGTAAATCGCGTAGAGTTCCTTCTCATAAGTGGACTTCGCCAATTTTTGAGAGGACATCTTTTTGGACATGTACTCTACCGGCCTCAAATTTCTCCCCTCCTGCTGCGCAAGTACAGCAGCAATGCCATATTGGCTGGCATCCATGGTCACAACAAACGGCTTGTCAGGATCGGGCAGTTTCAAGACCTCATGGTGAGTGAGGGCATGCTTCAGATGTTTGAAAGCAGCCTCACACTTGTCTATTCACTCCCGAGGGGTGTCAAGGCGTGTCAAGGCGTGTCAAGTCAGTCAAAGGGGCGGCCACTATACTATAATTCTTGACAAAATTGCGGTAGTAGCCGGTCATCCCTAGGAAGGACCTCATCTTAGTCACCGACTGAGGATGCGGCCAGTCACGAATGCTGGCCACCTTCGCGTCATCGGGTTTCAATCCCTCCACGAAAATCTCATGACCCAAATACAAGATCCGGGTGCAGCCAAACTCGCACTTCTCCCCATTGATCTTGAACTTGTGCTGCCGAAAGGACTCTATCTAAATGACCAACGTGCTCCTCGACAGTCCTACTGAAAATAAGTATGTCATCGAGGTACACAATGACAAACTTATCCAAGTAGTCATTAAAGATCCGGTTCATGGCATGCTGAAAGGTGCCAGGAGCATTGCAAAGGCCGAAAGGCATCACCACAAACTCGTACAGACCGTACCTGGTCTGAAAAGCGGTTTTGTGTTAATCCTCAGGCTGGATTGCAATCTGATGGTACCCGGACTTCAGATCTATCTTAGTGAAGTACCGGCACCCTTACACTCGGTCCAACAAGTCATCGATGCGCGGTAAGGGCTCTGCGTTCTTCACAGTGATGGCATTGAGGCCCCTATACTCAATGCACATCCTCAAGGTCCCCCCCTTCTTCGGTACAAATAAGACTGGCGATCTGTAAGGGGAGACACTCGGTCGGATCCAACCCTTCTCTACGAGTTCCTTGAGTTGCCGCTGAAGCTCATCAAGCTCGCCTGGAGACATCCGATAGATCCTACCCTTCAGAATGCTAGACCCTGGGATAGTATCTATCCCGTGGATGACCTCCCTCTCAACAACTCCTTTCGGCTCTTTAAATAAATTTGGGTACTTAGCGACTACTCCCTCTATCTTCGACGGCATTTTCACCGGCTCGCCTGCTGTAGAGACATAAACTAAGTACATACCCTCCTCCGGATTTTGCATTCAATAATTATAAAATGCGGCCGCACACGTGCATCCGTAGGACTGGATCAGACTACTAGCTTTAAACTTCCGGCGGTCCTCCCTCCGGGCAAAGTGTATTTGACCACTTTTCTGTCCCAGTCAAACTGGGGCTGCACAACCGAAAGATAGTCCATACCTAACAGGATGTCCATCGGGAGATCATCGTTGACTAGGAACGAGACGCGATGTCTCAGTTCCCCTCCCGCTTACGGGAAACAACACTCAACGTCCTTAACGTAGTCGTTGCCTACCATGCGCTGTTTGTTGGCACAGGTCGACTCAGGCGCTGCACTTGTCCCTGTAAGCGCAGCCTCTCAACGCACGGGCGATTGATAAAGTTTCGTGTCGAGCAAGTGTCATGATAGGCCCCGGCCTTGCGGCCGCCGATGACTACCTTGCCGACGAACAACTCACCCTTAGGGGTTTTTGCCATAGACGTCCAAGAAGCTAGCGGGTCTGATGTAAACCAGTCCTCCTCTAGCTCTTCTAAGGATTCAAACACATTCAACGAACAGAGGATCGATGGGTCCGCATGTGTTTGCGGGACGGCACCGAAGTCAGTAGCTTGGGCCATCTCTCGAGATGGTGAGGGTGTATCCACCACCTCGACCCTAGCAGGAACATCTATTATTCCTACTGGCCCGACGTGTCTCCCAGAGCAGTGCCAAAACTACTGGCTACATTGCTACCTATGGAAGCGGAGGATCCCAACGCCTGCCCCATTGTAGGCGGGATCTTTTCGACACCTTCTTATTTCGACACTTGACATGATTATGGCCATATTGGCCACAACGGATACAAGCCTGCCGAGTGTACTGATCCCTCCACACGTCCTTAGTAAGACCCGCTTTCTCCCATGGAGGAGCATTGGGTTCAACTTGATTCCTAGACCGAGAGCCTCCACAGCGTCTATTGGTCGCCTTGCCTTTTTGCACTGAGGCAGCGACTGCTCCACCCCCTGAAGCCTCTATGCTGCCCGCCTCTGTACCTACTCCCTCCTGGAAGTAGTCGTCTAATTCGATGGTAGAACCATCGTTGTCGACGAACATGATGCGACCCTTCGCCTTCCAGTTGGGAGGCAGTGCTTTCTTCCTTCCGTCCGTCGTGGGTTGGTGCCCATGCCCTATCTTTGCATCCAGGTCTAGGGCCTTCTTGCTAAACAAGGGAAAGTTGTGCACATTGATGTTCGCCTCACCTGCCAACTGATTCCTGAGTGGCACGGGAAGACACCTCAGGTAGGTTGTCAATAAGACTTGGGGGTCATAGCGTACTCCAGGAACACAGATCAAACGATCTACAGCATTTGTGGCATCCCTCACTGACTTGAACAGTCTGTTGCTCAAAGTCATGATCGCATCAGTGGCATTTTGGGCCTCCTGAGGATCATGCCATCTTTCCTCCACCATCTTGAGGAAGTCTTCTAGTTTCTGGTTGACTGCCCAAGCGCGAAAGTCGTGTCCATATCCCTACAGTTGCACTAGCCCACTTAACCATCGTGCTGCACTCCCCTCGAGATAGGATGCAGCCACAAATACTTCCTCATGTGGCAAGGTCAACTTGCACGTAACATAGACAGGCACTGACCTCAACCATGTGTCGAGGTCTTCGCCCCTCTTGTCCCCTGAAAAGGGTTTGGGTGAGGCGATGGCCGTCTTTGGAACCCACTGGCCTTGTCCCGGTACCTGCCCCACTCCGGGCTGTGGACCCTGGAGCGCAGGTTGCTGCACTAACGGCTGTTGGGGCTGTGTGCCCAGCTGTTGTGCTGGCTGCGAGACAGCAGGCTGCCCAGTCTCGGCAACCTGCAACGGAGGCTGGGAATACACTATCTGTACAGGAATCTGTACACTACGACCTGCTGAGAACCCTCCTGTCAAAGGCATTGCTAGGGAAGCGGCCTGTACCGATGCTGGAGCTATGTATGGGGATACCCCAGTCACCGGTGGGACAGAAGGAGGAGGTTGTACCACGGGCCAGGCACCGGGCCCTGATGGTGATGGTATCACCTGCACTCGCCCGACCAGCACGGCCAGGCTCTGCTGGATGTCTTGTAAGAGCGCCATTTGGTGATCCTGCATTTCTACCACATCTAGCAAGACTGTCCTCAGGGTCCTCATATTATCATCCACATTCATCAGGTCCATCTCCTCTAACTCATTAATGTATGCTTGTCTCCCCTGCATCCTCGCTCTTCTCCTAATCATTCTCTCTTTCTCTGCCTTTATCTCCCCTAAAGCCTTCTGCAGTTGTGCCTCCTGAGCATCTGCTTGTCGTATGGCGATCTCTTCGGGAGTCAGAACTAACGGTTGGCTTGCCATGACGCTAGTGGACTGACTAAGGGTCTGTGCAACCGTTGACCCTACAGTCCCTGAACTACTAGCCTGAGAGCTTTGTTGCACAACAGTTGCCATGGATGCTGAAGTAGCGGCCTCGCTTGCGAATGCCCTGCTTGCCTTTGTGGCCCTAGCTCTTCGCTGCTGCTGCTGCCTCTCTCTGCTGGCGGAACAGGACTCTGTCGCCCTTTGGTCCTAATGCCAAGTGGGCTATTGGGCGCCTCGCTGATCGCAAGATCCTGTCTTCCTCTCTAGTTTCCTCCCTGTCGCTCATAAGCTATAGAACTGGACACAATATGCACTAGGTCACTCACTCGATGCCTAACGCAGCGTCGTGCACAAACCGATTTAAAAATAAATAAATTAAATAACCGATGGTTATTTTAGAGTCTACACATTCGGGTCCAACAGGTAAGTTCAAATTCCTACAAACAAAACCATTTTTACTTAATTAGTCCACGAACAGAGAGAAAATTTCTATCTAATGCTATCTGTCAGATGTCAATGGCAGTCCGTCTAACGAATCAAAATAAAAATAGAATCGTATGTGCGGATATTTGCAGAGTGGAATTGAACACAAACTTATCACCGGGAATCTACCCCTCCCTCAGTTCCTTTTGATGGTCACTTGACGTCAGCGTCCCTGAGCGATCTAGAACAGTGTGCTTGTCTAAAGGTGTGCACACGACCCACCACTGTGCCCTGCACTATTTTTATCCTCGTGTGCAGCGAGCCTTACACCGACTGATTGGCTGATTAGGAGGCGTTTTAGGACGGCCTCCGCGGTTCTCAGGAATTATTTAACGTCGCAGACATGACGACGATCACAGCCAATGGAAGGTACCCCGTCGGTGCTTATTTATAGACGCTCGGTACTCGTCTCCCCTGTAGGGTTGGCCTGCCCCTCATCACCCATCTATCAGCGCAGCAGGCAGACAAAGGACAAAGCAGCAAAGCATGCGTGCTCTACTACCGGTGAGTTGGCATGGTGACCGTGACCTAGTGCTTCGTCTAGGGCCCTTCAGATAGCTCCGCCCTCTCCTTCCAGATGCTCCACGTGAACAATGTCGACACTCAAGGTTGAGCGCACTCGACTCCTCACATGAGAGGACTCTCAAGACAGAACACATCCTCACAGTAAGAAGTGTTGAAGAGGGTAGATAAGGTTAGGTACAACGTACCTCAAAATAGCTGCCCCCAACCACAAATATTCTCACCAGATGACCTGATGCCGACTGTGATGACCAATCGCTGCTTCGGCACAACCAGCATTACACCGCCGTTCCACCTCAGCATCAATCGCACATCAGATAGTTCTCATCACTGTGAACATCCACCATCCACCAAGTAGCCTTCCTGGCAATACCCCTCACCTCCTGGGTCGCCCTACTTGCCTTCGCCCTCCTCACTACCCACTCCCTACGGCCGGTCGCCCAGCAGACCGCATGCATGTACCGCGTAGGCAGAAGACAAGCGCCAGATTAGCGCACCGTACCACAGCTCTGATATCAAATTGCGAGGAAAATGAGCGATAGCGAACTTCAGAAACCAAGCAGCATCATACACATGAGACCAGATAGTCATGACCTCAAACCAAAAGCAGAATTGCAACATGAGTTCCACCAAATAAGATCACCGCAAAAGCTCATAAGTGACAATGTTGGAATAGTCTCATCATCATCAACAAAGAACCAATGTTGACATCCTATCTGGCGCTCTGCGCCCAGACTACAAGTGGCAGATCCTATCTAGTCTATCTACAATGCCGCTGGTGACGTCAACAAAAAGCAGAACTGGGTAAGGCTCCCAGACATGTTACACATCCGGGTAGACTGTGAGGACCCCGTCCTCGTCCTTATCTTTTGAAATATCAGCCTTGGGCACTGGACCCGTTTTTTTTTTTTGTTTTGTTTTTTTTAAACAATGCCGCTGGTGACGTCAACAAAAAGCAGAACTGGGTAAGGCTCCCAGACATGTTACACATCCGGGTAGACTGTGAGGACCCCGTCCTCGTCCTTATCTTTTGAAATATCAGCCTTGGGCACTGGACCCGTTTTTTTTTTTTGTTTTGTTTTTTTTAAACAATGCCGCTGGTGACGTCAACAAAAAGCAGAACTGGGTAAGGCTCCCAGACATGTTACACATCCGGGTAGACTGTGAGGACCCCGTCCTCGTCCTTATCTTTTGAAATATCAGCCTTGGGCACTGGACCCGTTTTTTTTTTTTGTTTTGTTTTTTTTAAACAATGCCGCTGGTGACGTCAACAGCTCCCCGAAGTACGAGCAGATCTTGGCCAATGCCGTTCGCCTCAAGCACCAGGTATGTCTCTCGTATCACTCACAACCTCGATCCCGCATTCACAGATGCCACGTGCACCCAAGGACCACCATGCGCCCCCTCCAGCTATGCAGCACAGCTCGGCTATGGCTGCCTGCCTCTCCCTGCTCGCGCGTGAGCCTGGCCAACGTTAAGCGCAGCAGCGCTTGCGCAGCATGCAGCCAGTGCCCGAATGAGGAGTCCTGGGGCAGGCACTTTCCTAAATGGAAGTGACCTGCCTGCTGCGTGCGGCCTGCCTGCATTGGGCCTCGGTCCAGAAGCTTCCGGTAGGCCCCGTGAGGCTGAGTCCCAGTCCGAACGAATCAGGCCCAGGGCCTGTGGTGGTTACCTGTGCCCAACTGCCGGCAGCCTGTGTTCAGCCCATGTTGCGTATCTGGCCCAGGGCCTGCCTCAGTTACATACGAAAAAGGCAGCCTGGGCCTGGGCGCTCTCAACCAACTGGTGCTGCGCAACTGCCTGCGTGGTGACCCCAAAAATGGGCCTGTAGGCCTTGGTCGAGCCTGCCTTCACTTAGGGCGGCCGACTGTACTGAAAATAAGGCCCAGTAGGGCATATCAAGGCCTTGAGCCTCACATTTTGAACTTGCGTCTTTATTTTAACAGTCCAGGGGTGTACCAACTGAGCTGGACCTGTTTGCTCTTTTGTGGAATGTTGCTCTGCTCTGGCAAAGGCCAGTCAGCTGTGCATCGTGTCTCAGAGCAGAGGATTGAATGTTTGCAGAGAGACGGATTTATCTTGTATTGTAGGTCCTTTTTGTAAGCGGAAGATAGGAGAGTTATTTTCTTGGCTTTAACGAGAGAGGTCTAGGTATGTGAAATTTACTGCTGCTCTGTGTGCATCACGGGCGAAATGATCTACCTGTCATCTTCATTTATGTTTTGCATCAGTTAGTCTGTGTTTTTTTTTTTTTTTTTTTTTTTTTGTTTGTCAATTGCAAGGAAGATGAGCGATAGTGAAATCCAGAAACCAAGCAGCATCATACATATGAAACCAGATAGTCTTGACCTCGAACCAAAAGCAGAATTGCAACTCGAATTGCACCAAATAAGCATGGTAACCCCGGACCCGGACACCGGACACTTCCGGACTGTCTTCCGGACCAGTGTCTGGACCGGTCCGGACTGTCCAGTGATGCGGTCTGCAAGACACGTGCTCTGCTGCCTGAACTACAGAGTGCAAAGCAG